TTTCTTTCCCTGCCTGTATGTTATTCTCCCTGTTTCTGTAACTCTGCTTTTCAAACAAATAAATACATCTTAAAAAAAAGAAAGAATAACAGTAACTATTTAAAAAGTTTTAAAAGAGTTTGTTCCTTTTTTGTGTGTGTGAAAGAGACAGAGCCATAGACAGATCTACCATCTGCTAACTGACTCCTCAAATGCTTGCAACAGCCAGGGGTTGTCCATGCCAAAACGAGAAGCCCCAAGCTCCATCCCCTCTGGGTGGCAGGGACCCAGGTACTTGAGTCATCATTGCCTGTTTTCTCCCAAGGTTTGCATTAAGAGGAAGCTAAAACCAGGAGCAGCTGGGACGCAGCCTCAGGCATTCAAATGTGTGCTGGTGGTGTCTCAAGCTGTCTTAGCCACTCTAGCCAGCTACCTGCCTTGATCTTTGTTAAAGTTTGACTTTATTTTTATACATCTTTTTGAATTATATATTGTTCAAACAAAAATAGCTTTGTTTTTAACAACTATGCATAAGGCTATAGTATGAAGATTTTCAACAACTTGCTTTTCACCTTAAAAGATATCATAGGAATATGTTTATAACTTTATGCAGAATTTTACCTCATTTTTGTAGTTGCTCCACAGTGTTCTGTGGTAACCATTTCTATTTTGATATTTAGGTTCTTGAAATATTTCACTAGTGCAAACTGTGTTACAGTGAACATCCTCAGAAATGAGGTTTCCAGGATAGAGGTACAAAGGATATTTTTGTTAAATGTGCAATTTTTTGAATGTCTTCTTTTTGGTGATAACAAGGACTAAACTTTTTCCTTGGTTTACCATGCTATGTGTGATAATTCCTTCTTTATAAGTGATTTTATTTTGTTATTTAAGGGTTCAACTCTGGGAATAAGTCTTCCCACATTCGTTACCTACATAAGGGTTGGGTTTCTGTGATGCTTCCCCAGGCCTGAGTTGTGTCCGAAGACTTTGGCACATTTCTAACAGTGTGGTTGGGCTTTTTAAAAAGCCTTTTCCACAATCACTGAAAGATAAGATTTATTTCCATTGTGAGTTTTCTAATGAGGAGTCAAAGATGACCTGTACCTTCAAAGGCTCCATCCTCACGGCACTGATAGGCTTTTTCTCCCATATGCATTCTTTGATGATTAGGAAGATGAGCTCTTTATTAAATATGGCTTCTTATGAGAATAAATTATTGGATTTTATCTCTGAACGATTTTATACATTCCTTAAAGGCTCATTTATTTATTTGAAAGACAGAGGTGGAGAGAGAGGAAGGGAGGAAATGAGAGAGGGAAAGTAAGAGTGAAGAGTGAGTGAAAGCGAATTTCTTCCCCAGATGCCTGCAACAGCCAGGGCTGGGCGTGATCAAACCCAGGAGCCAGCAAGTTTGTCAGGGTTCCCCATGTGGGTGAGAAAAACCAAAATACCTGATCCTTCACCTGCTGCCTACCAGACACGTTAACAGGATTGGAAGCCAAATCAGAAGCAGGGCCAGGACTTGAACCAGCACTCTGATGTGGTATGTGGACTTCCCAACCAGTGACTTAGCCTACTGTGTTACAGTGCGCAATCCCATTTCTTACAGTTGAAAGACTTTTCTCTATTATGTTTTCAGTCAGAATGGGTAAGAAAGGTTGGAAAGGAGTTGTCTTCTGAACAAAGGCTATCAATACCACATTCATTATATTATAGGGTTTCTGATACAAATTCACTGATGGCTTGAAAGGGCAAAGTTCATTCTGAAAGCATTTCCACATGCTATGGGGTTTTTCTCTAACGAATTCTTTGATGAATGATAAGTGCTTCTTGAAGACTTTCCCACATTCAATCCATTGATCAGTAAAGTTGGTTGTCTCTGTGAATTTTTTGGCAACTTAAGAGAGATGATAGTAGTTTAACTTATTTATATCTAGCTCACATTCTTTACATGTATCAGATTTTTCTCCAGCATGATGGTTCACTCTGATGGTTAACAAAGGAGGAACTTTATTTGGAGACTTCTACATTGCTTTTATTTGTATCATGTGTTTGTGCAGAGTTCATTGAGTAGCATTTACATGTCTATCCAAAATGTGAGTAAACTTCATAGCCTCATTCCTAAATGTCAGCCATCCCGGGAATCTGTGCTTTGGGCAGTTTTGGGAACAACTGTTTCCTGAGATGTTCTCCTAGGCAAGGGCAAAGAATTCTGTGTAAGTCAAGAAATTCAAACTCGGGCTGTTAGTAGAATTGGCTTCTTCCAAGGTTCTGGGTAAAATCTTGGCTTCCATAGCTTCTGGTGATTGCTGTCAATCTTGGCATTGCTTGGTTTACAGTTGTATAACTTCAATCGCTGCCTCTGTCATCACATGGCATTTTCCTTCAATTCAACATAATTTACTAATTTCCCTCATGCAGTTTCAATGAACACTTATGCAAAATAGTATTAATCTTAAGATTGAAAGGGAGGGCTGGCATTGTGGCATAGTGGGTTAATTCACCACCTGCAATACCCACATCCCATATGAGCACTATTTTAAGTCCTGGCTGCTCCATTTCCAGTCCAACTTCATGGTAGTGCACATAGGAAAGCCATCCTAAGGCCCCTGCATGCATGTGGAATTCCCAGATGGAGCTCTTGGCTCCTGGCCTACCCCAGCCCTCCACTGTTGTGATCATTTGTGGAGTGAATCAGTGGGTGAAAGATCTCTGTTTCTCTCTAACTCTGCCTTCCAAATAAATACAATGTAAACAAACAAACAAACAAACAAACAAACTGCAGGGGACCACTCTCTAAATTTCTAGAGCTTTTGCTCTATGTAGTCTGCTCCTTTCAGGTATTTGTTAGAAAATTATAGCTGTTACAGCCACCCTGAACTCTTTCTCCTTAACCTAGCAAGACTTTAATCTGCTTGGGTTCTCCCAACCTGTGCCACAGTTTGCAGCAAGCCTCCAGGCAAGGCAGGTGACCCTAGCCATCATCTGGTTTACTTCCTGTCTCCCAGAGGTCACAGTCCTGCCGTCCTGTTATCCGAGGTTGGAGAGGAGTTGCTTCTGTATTTTGCTTAGTTCTCTGTTGCTCATATTTGGAAGGTCAGTCTTATAGCAAGCCTTTCTTTGAACGGAAGTGGAAATCATAGTGCATTTAAAAAATAAATAAAATGATAGAGTATAGAAAATGCAAGTTATTTTATTTTTTGTCAACCCCCTAACTGTGTTCAATATGAGGAAGCATGAGGGAAAGTTAACATGCTTGTAGTTGCTGATGTAACTGTTAACTCATTTCAGCAGCTCTGTTCGGCCAGGTTGCTATTATCAGATTCATTAATATGATAACCACATGGGAAGCTGAAGACGGAAATAAGGGGTATTCCTTTGACTTTGGCAGCTTCATTTTTTCGTAGTTGCTATTTATTCATCCTTTTTAAAAGAAATTTTGGCTTTCCAGACCTCCTAAGATGCCTTGTCTAATGTTAAGTCAGTGTCAATACATCCTTATTTTCAAGAACACTTGTAGGCTGACTCTTCTGTAGCATTCCTGACTCTCAAGAGTCCAGAAACCTGCCCTTGTGCTCTACACTTGATCTTAGCCAAAAGGCCGAGAAGCGATGCCCTTGTGCTCTTTCTGTCTGCCGGTTGATTGTATCCGCGGCAAGTCTCTCGGACATTTATTGTGCACAGGAGTCAGATTCACTCTGGCTGGTTACCAGAGTGTTGCTTTATCACCCTGTCTGAGCTTGTGTATACGCAGAGATGATTATCCGTCTTTCCAGTGCTTTGATTGTATTGCTTAGTGTGTTTAGTTAATTCCAATATGTGTTTTATATTTGTATCATAGGGCTAGGACTAGGGAAAGAGGGACCCAGAGTTGAAATTTTAAAGAGGTACTCAGTGTCAAGGTTGCATAACCAGGCACTCAAATGGTTCTGAGAATGATCTCCTCTTTAAATTTTGTGCCCAAGGTGCATGCTTTGATTTTACTTTGGGAAAATTGTTGCTTTGCCTGAAATAATTCAACAGCTCCAAGTTTATCCATAAACAGCATTAGCCAGAATTTTGGATCATATTATACAGGTTACCCCAGTAAATCATTATGGGTGATCCCTTTCTTTCTTTTTTTTTTAAGATTTATTTTTATTATTATTGGAAAGGCGGATATACAGAGAGGAGAGACAGAGAGGAAGATCTCCCGTCCGAAGATTCACTCCCCAAGTGAGCGCAACGGCCAATGCTATGCTGATCCGAAGCCAGGAGCCTCTTCCGGGTCTCCCACATGGGTGCAGGGTCCCAAAGCCCTGGGCCGTCCTTGACTGCTTTCCCGGGCCACAGGCAGGGAGCTGGAAGGGAAGCGGGGCTGCCGTTATTAGAACCAGTGCCCATATGGGATCCCGGGCGTTCAAGGCGAGGACCTTAACCACTGCGCTACCGCGCCGGGCCCCCTTTATTTCTTATCATGACCTGGCTTTGTTGTTAAGAAGTTCCCGCAGGGTCTCCCTCATGATTAAAATTTTTGATAATTTTTGTTACAATCCTGGCTGATACCCTGGTATGCAAAACCATATTAAATGGTAACCTGCATGAGGTCAGGGTACCTGGTGTTGCTGCCAGCGCACAGGGTGAACTACCCCAGCTTATTGAACTATCTGCTGTTGTGCTCCCATAGTCTTCACATTGACTGGAAAGATGCCTTGGAGGTGAGTGGGAGATCAGATGTTGGACACAGCCTCCCCTGTTCAAAGAATAAGTATTTCTTTACTTTTTGTCTCATAAGTGAGAATTCTGTGTAAAAGCTGTGCATGGTTTGCACTCATTGACAAGGGGAACCTTTGGTGAATGTGGAGCAGTCTTACAGCCTGAAATATCAGGCCTTTTTATGTTTCAGTCACCAGATGCCCTTCTCACCCTCTTAAAAACCTGTCTTCAAAATAGCCTCAAATATTGGTATCCAACCGTCTTTTCAGAGCAGTAACCCTGTTTTTATTCCATCTTAATATGTTTTCATTCTTTGTTTTTAGATGCCAGTGTGAGCAGATGCCAGCAAGGGGAGACGCGCTTTGGAGTCGGCCTGAGATCTGGGGGAGAAAATCACCTCTGGCTTCTTGAAGGATCCCCCTCCGTCCAGTTGTGTTGGGCTGCCTGCTGCCGGGACTCTGCCTGTCAAGCCTTTTGGTGGCTGGAAGGGATGTGTATTGGGGCCAACTGCAGCAAGCCACGGAGCTGCCAGGCTGTTAGGACAGACTCTTCCAATTCCATACTGGTGTTTTTAAAAAAACGCCAAACTACAGATGATTCGGGGTTTCCACCTGAAGATGGTATACCACATCTTCTGGGGCTGCAGTGGAGCGCGGCATCTTGGAGGAGACAGAGCCCTGCCAGAGCTCCATTCAGACTTTCTGTATCTGCCAGTGACCATCAGAGCTTGATCAGGAAGCTTTGGAAGAGAGATAATCGCAATGAAGAAGTGGCCCCTTTAATGACGGGGGATGCTGAAGTGAATGACTCAAAGGAACTGTTCAATGTGACTGGCCAGGACTCTGCAGAGGTAAGCATCTTAGGGAGAGGGAGCCCAGGAAGTTCTGTGTCTACACAGGTTTGACACATCCCAGAAGTGAGGCTTATGCTGCCTGTGGGCAGTATATAATAGGCCAAGGAGTATGCCTGTTCAGCTGCTGGGTGTCATTGGCTGCTGCTGCCCAGATGTACAAGGGCCGTTGGCCTTAGAGATGTTGATTTACTCCATGAAGTTCTGACCGTTGCTTTGGGAGAAACCGAAAGCTGCTCATTATCTAGTCTAGGCTTGTTCTTGGCTACAGGTAAGTGCAGTTGTGTGGGTGTTAGTCTCCACCAACGCTCCTGCAGTGTTTTCTGCCAGATTGCAAAACAGTTGATTGATGTGGTTGCAGGCAAGTTCTCCTCCTCCTCCATCTCCCCCCTTGTAAACACATTCCTATTCCAGGCAGAATCAACCCTGTGACCTGCTGGACTGGGGAGCTGGATGTGGCCCTTAGCCAGGACGTCTCTTGGGGTCACTTCTCACCAAGCTGTGTATGCCAAGGGAGATACCATCAGTAGAACTTATTTGGTTTATTGTGTTTTTTCATTGTTGATCTTCCTGGGCAAATGATTAAAAGGAGTGACTCACTCTTTGCTCACTCTGCCTTGATTACTGTGACTTATTTTTGTATTTGTTTTGTCCTGTTTGTCTCTGAATTGAAGCCAGAGTGGGGAGGCTACTGTTTGCCAGGCCCTGTGTATTCTAATCTTAGTCTACTTTGTCATTTTTGTTTAATTTTCACAGTAGGATTTCCAAGTTAGGTATTACTAGCTTCATGTAACAAGTAAGGCAACTGAGTCCCAAATAGATTAAACAAGTTAACTGTTGAATCACATAGCTAGAATTAGAACCTAGATTTAATATTTGCCAAAAAAATATTAGTACAGTATTAGAGGGCAATCATAGGTGTACTGTTCTTACAAACATGTATGGAAACCTGTCAATATCAGGTAATTTCTTTTAAAGATTATTTATTTTGGGGCCTGTTGCGATAGCCTAGCAGCTAAAGTCCTCACCTTGCATGCACCCATATGTGTGCCAGTTCTGATCCTGGCGGCCTTGCTTCCCATCCAGCTCCCTGCTTGTGGCCTGGGAAAGCAGTCGAGGACAGCCCAAAGACTTGGAATCCTGCACCCACATGGGAGACCTGAAAGAAGCTTCTGACTCCTGGTTTTGGATCAGCTCAGCTCTGGCTGTTGTGGCCACTTGGGGAGTGAATCATCAGATGGAAGCAGGGGTCTAGATGGGAAGTGAGGCTGACGCTGTTACAACCGGCACTCATATGGGATCCCTGAGCATTCAAGGGCAGGACTGTAGTCACTAGGTTACATTTCTTGATGTGTAGAATTTGACTAGGGGGTTAAAGGTAGTGTTTTTGTGTGTGTTTTGTTTTTTTGTTTTTAAACACAGAGGCACAGTGTATGCAAAGACTCAGTGGGTCAGTAAGTATATGTTGTACCTTTATTTTGGTCAAGGTACCTACTAAGCCAGGCACTGTGAATATTATAGTTCGGAAGCTGAATATCTGACCTAATAGAGCTTCTTCTCTGGCAAGGAAAATAGAACTCAATTTGTAATAATTAAAAAATTATAAGCTTGATGTAGGTTGTGAGAGGATAAGTACAGAGTGCAGTTACATTACCTAATAAGAACTTTAAATAGAGATGAAGGTGTAAGGTTAGGTTACTCTGAAGAAAGTAAGTTTTGAGATCTGTAGTAAGCATTAGGGGAAGAATATTTAAGGCAGTGAAACTAATTTCCAAGTGTGTTAAGTACCTAAGAGCACACGGCAAGATCAAGAAATCAAAAGAGTCTGATGTTGGGCAGTGATCAAGGAAGAGGTTTGAGAGGTGTGAGAGCTTCAAGGCTTTCTTAAGATACTGGCCTCTGTCTTTTTAAAGGGCTTATTTATTTTACTTGAAAAAGTTACAGAGAAGGAAAGACAGAGATCTTCCATCCGCTGATTGACTCCTCAAATGGTTGCAATGGCAGATGCTAGGTTGGTTCAAAGCTAGGAGTCAGGAACTTCTTCCAGGTCTTTGTGGGTGCAGGATCCAAGGCCTTAGGCTATCTTCTGCTGCTTTTCCAGGCTGTTAGCAGACAGCTGGATTGGAAGTGGAGCAGCCAGGACTCGAATCCACAACCATATGGGATGCCGGTGCTACAGGCGGAGGATTAGCCTGTATGCCACTTTGTCAGTCCCTAGCCTTTGTCTTAAGATCTATGGGAAGTTGTTAAAGAGATTTAGGCAAGAATGACACACAGTTGTATCCTCTTTATCAATGGGGGACATAGACCATGGGCCTCAGTGGACGCTGAAACTGGATTAGAAGAACCTTGTATGTATAATACATACACTGTAAGTTGAGCTGATAGTCTAGCCAACTATTAAGTAACTAATGGGTGGGTAGCACATACAGTGTGGGTATACTGGACAAATGGATGGTTTACATCCTGAGTGGGATGAAGTGGGATGGTACACGATTACATCATGCTACTCAGAATACATGGAATTTAAAACTTAGGAATATGGGACCTGGTGCAGTGGTTTGGTGACTAAATCCTCATGTTGTATACACCAGGATCCCATATAACCACCAGTCTGTGTCCCAGCTGCTCCACTTCCCACCGCTGCCTGCTAGTGGCCTGGGAGGGCAGCAGAAGATGGCCCAAAGCCTTGGAACTCTGCACCCACTTGGAAGTCCTGGAGGAAGCTCTTGGCTCCTGGCTTCAGATTGGCTCAGCTCCGGCCATTGGCAGCCTCTTGGGGAGTGAACCAGTGGATGGAGGATTTTCCTCTCTATCTCTCCTTCTCTCTGCAAATCTGTCTTTCCAATAAAAATAAATAGAACATTAAAACTTAGAAATTTTTTACTTCTTGAGTTTTCCATTTAATATTTTCAGTCCAGGGTTGACTGTAGATTGTTGCTCTCTGAAACCCTGGAGAGCAAGATCTGACATAAAGACACACTATTGTAATCAAATCTTTTTCTGTAAGGTAAACAGGCTGGAAACAGGCTACAAAAGGGCAAGAATGTACATAGCCTGATGAAGTAGGAGGCTTTTCAGGCAAGAAAAGCATTGCAATAAGGAAAGTGATTAAAGGCACAGAGAAGGGATAAACAACAAATGATCATTCGTGCATGCATCAGAATCACTTTGAGCCTTGTTGAAAAAAGATGAGTGGCCCTCGACTTTAGAGTTTCTGCATTGTGACAGGGAGGGGGTTTGGGAGGGAGGCAGCTAAGATAGGTTTATAGGTTCCATGAAACAACATTCTGGCTGTTCTAATCTCATTCTTATTTCTTCTGAACTGTAAAAAGCCCAGCACGATGGCGTAGTGGTTAAGGTCCTCGCCTTTGCATGCCCGGGATCCCATATGGGCACTGGTTCTAATCCCGGCAGCTCCACTTCCCATCCAGCTCCCTGCCTGTGGCCCGGGAAAGCAGTCAAGGACGGCCCTAAGCTTTGGGACTCTGCACCCGCATGGGAGACCCGGAAGAGGCTCCTGGCTTCGGATCAGCATAGCATTGGCCGTCGTGCTCACTTGGGGAGTAAATCATTGGATGGGAGATCTTACTCTCTGTCTCTCCTCTCTGTATATCTGCCTTTCCAATAAAAAAGTAATAAAAATAAATCTTTTTTTTAAAAAGTCACTTACATAGAGTAGAAGCAGAAGCAGGTAGGATGGGGATAGGTCGGTAATTGGCAGGGACAGAGTGATTAAGATATGAAAGCCATTTTGAGGGTGAGAGATGGCAAGCTACATGAAGAGTATGAAGATGGCTGGATGGCCTTGAATATGGAGGCCATGCATTGAGAACAGTGGCACTGATCCTGTTTTGTGAGTCTCCCCTTAGCAGCTGTCAAGAAATGGCTGTTAGGGGTGCATGTTGTAGTGCTGTGGTTAATCTGCGGCTTGGGATACCTACATTCATTTTGAAATACTTTGGAGAAAGTCTTCAGAGAAAGGCAGCAGATGATGGCCGAGGTATTGGATTTCTGCCACCCACATGGAAGACCCGGATGTAGTTATTGGCTCTTGGCTTCAGCCTGGCCACACCAGCTGTTGTAGGCATTTGGGGAGTGAACTAGCAATGAAAGAGCATGACTGCTCTCCCTATCATAATGCCTTTCAAACAAAGCTAACAATTTTTTTCTTTTTTTTTGCGGATATGGACCATGCAGAGAGTCCAGCATCTTATTGTCCAGATAAATTCAACAGTTTCATTGGGAGACCATCCTCGGTCTGAAAGTAGAGCTGGCAGAATATGATCTCCTCCAATGAGATATCACTACACAACTTCAACAATAGGAAGAAACATTGAAATTAATAACATCATGAAGTTAATTAACATGGTATTGAGAGACCAATATGTTAGTAAATGCAAGTTCTTAACCACATCCTGTAACTACTTCCTTGGCATCTCAATTTTAGTATATACACAACCGGCTGCTATAAGCCCTTTTTTTTCTCCCAAGCTAACATGTTTTTGAGTTTAACCTAAATTAGAGTAGCACAGGAACAGTAGAAGGATCAACATTAACATTCATCATATATAACAGCTGAGTACAAACTTAACATCAAAGTTTCTATGCAGTTATATCTTGTTTAGTATTAACAGTCATAAATTGATAAAGTTTTTTGGGGAGAGAATTAAGCCACAATTTAAACTTTGCAGTATATAGTGATTAAGCATGGTTTTACAGAACTGTGCATTTTAACAACTGAAGAATAGAAAAGTTTAAGGCAGGTGAACAGGGAAATCCCCAACAACCCAGTGAGTGAGGAAGAATTTAACTCCACATGCTACCTAGTAAAGTCCAGGAGAAGCAAATAGGGAGCCTGACCAGTAAGTACGGGCTGAGTGATCATAGGCTAGTTGGCCTTTTCCCCGGCTGTTCCACAATTTCTATATCAGTGTCTGTCTCTGTCTATCTGAAAAGCCAAATGGGAAGCCTGATCAGTAAGGTACAAACTGTGTGAT